GGCCGCTCTGGGCTCCTCTGGGCATCCCCCCCGGGGCCCGGTTTGCGAGGATGTCTCAGGCGAGGGCGCCGGTTTGGGATTCGTCACCGGATCCAGCGGATCCAGCGGATCCGTCCGGAAACGGTGCTGGAGGCCGCTCTGGGCTCCTCTGGGCATCCCCCCCGGGGCCCGTTTTGTGAGGATGTCTCAGGCGAGGGCGCCGGTTTGGGATTCGTCACCGGATCCAGCGGATCCAGCGGATCCAGCGGATCTGTCCGGAAACGGTGCCGGAGGCTGCTCTGGGCTCCTCTGGGCACCTCCCCCGGGGCCGGTTTTGTGAGGATGTCTCAAGCGAGGGCGCCGGTTTGGGATTCGTCACCGGATCCAGCGGATCCAGCGGATCCAGCGGATCTGTCCGGAAACGGTGCCGGAGGCCGCTCTGGGCTCCTCTGGGCACCTCCCCCGGGGCCGGTTTTGCGAGGAGGTCTCAAGCGAGGGCGCCGGTTTGGGATTCGTCACCGGATCCAGCGGATCCGTCCGGAAACGGTGCCGGAGGCCGCTCTGGGCTCCTCTGGGCACCTCCCCCGGGGCCGGTTGTGTGAGGATGTCTCAAGCGAGGGCGCCGGTTTGGGATTCGTCACCGGATCCACCGGATCTGTCCGGAAACGGTGCCGGAGGCCGCTCTGGGCTCGCTCATTATGCACATCTCCCCCGGGGCCGGTTTTGCGAGGAGTCTCAATCGAGGCGCCGTGTTTGGGATTCTCACCGGATCCAGCGGAATCGTCCGAAACGGGTGCCGGCATGCCGGAGGCCGCTCTGGGCTCCTCTGGGCACCTCCCCCGGGGCCGGTTTTGCGAGGATGTCTCAAGCGAGGGCGCCGGTTTGGGATTCGTCACCGGATCCAGCGGATCCGTCCGGAAACGGTACCGGAGGCCGCTCTGGACTCGTGCTCTTCGCGCCGGGGGTGAGGATGACGTGAGTTCCACAGAAACTCCCTCAAATTAGATCTGCAGGCGTCGGCAAGGAAGTCCCCACACGCCCCAGCCACCTCCATCACATCCAGAAACCGACCCCGCCAGTGAAAGGGCCATCACCCAGGGCAGTTCTAGCCCTCACCGAGGGCAGGTGGCAGTCAACTGTTTTAAAATGCCGTGACGCAGCCAGTTGGCACGCTGAATCTGCTGTAGGCTGGCGCAGTCTCTGCTGGCGGGCCTTCCGGCTGGTCTGGGCAACAGTGTAATGATTCGGCTGGCACCGTCTGCACTGGCAGGCGTTCATCCTTCCCCACGCGAAGCTTAAACCTCATGCCCCACCCCTCGCCAACAAGGTCTTCGTCGCGGGTCTGCGCTGACTGCGTGAAACTGCAGCGCGTTCTAGGCTGGTTGGCTCGCACAACCTCGGAGGCGGCCCTGGTCGAGGGCTGCCCGTCCTGGGGCGTTCATTCTCCTGCTCCTCCACCCCCAGCTCACTGAACTTCCAACGACCTGCACCACCACCTCCTCCAGCCAGTTGATACAGCGTGCGACTAGCCACACAGCGATCTCCTGCTGCTGAAAAGCTGTGGATAAATGCAGGTGCTCCACCTCCACCACCTCCTCCAATGCGTCACCTGCCACCTTCAAGGTGTTGCGCCCTTACCGCGGGTCTTGGAACTGATAAGAGTGCAAACGAAGCCATATCGAAATACTTATAGCGGTGGGAGCGCGATGCAAATACTCACATGTCAAATACAACGACTGCACAAAGAGCGCATGCGGTGCAACCTATCGTGAAAAGCCCGCGATGCAAAATGGCCTCTCTGAAAATATTTCCGGAGAGGCTTCTGGGACCGCCTAAGCATGGACAGACTGGACAACAAGGCACACACGCAATGTCGCAACGGCGCTGGCCCCTCCCACCCCGCCCAACTCCACTCTCAGCCCCCCCGCACCTCCAACTCCCACGACACAAATAGAAATAGCCAACGCTTGAAAAATGGTGCACCTTGGGGGACCTTCTTTGCAGATGGCGGTAAGACAGAAGATGCTGATGACGAGGTTGATGACAATGACGAAGTGGATTATGATGGCTGCGCTGTGACACTGCGGTGGTGCAAGAAACTATCGACCTGCCTCTTCGCACCTGCTTTGAAACGCCGAATGTAGAACATCTGTCTCCATGTATGCACTACCTACATTACATCTGTTTCCAACAGCGCGGCATTCACAAAATTGATCGTCACGCGTTCACCTTGGCTTCGCAGTACATTCAAAATAGGTTGTCTACGTTTCTTCTTGGATCATGCCAATGGCTTGGTGGCAAAAAATATGCAACATGTGAGGAACGTCGTCTAATTTATCACACAACTTGCCCTACGCGCCGAACAAATACAGGTAAGATGGTTGTGGAGACGACAGCAACAACTCGAAGCTGTGGTACATCAAAATATTGGTTGAGATCAACGTCATCCCCCGGCTCTTCTGCAACCAGACTTTGAGCTTCAGCCTGGCTGTGGGTTTTCGAAGATGTCGTGGGCAGCGCCTCGGGACCTCCAATTTCCTCCTCGGCATGCTCTGCAAGAGTTTATCTTCTATTGTCTTCAAACTGTTAAGTGGCAGCTGATACGGTATGAGATTGACCCTCCACGTGATTAGCGTTCTGCGACAGAGACGGCTCACAAATAATGCCAGCCGCACGTGTTACAAATGTATGATACACATGTGTATAAATGTGTAACAGAGAACCCAAGAGAATACCCCCCCAGGGATAGTAAAGTTCGGGGTTTTCGGGGAGATAATAAAAGTTGCCCGCCAGAGCCAGCATAAAGAGATACCAAGAGGAAAAAGCCAAAGATATCTTGAGGATTGTCTCGATTGAGACATCCTCAACGAATTCCTTGTTTCGCTTGAGACATCCTCGAAATATTTGTCTGTTTCGCTTGAGACATCTTCGAAGTATTGCTTATTTCGCTTGAGACATCCTTGAGGGAGGGGGAGGAGAAAGAGCAAGAGGAGGAGAGGAGAAGGAGATAGCAAAAATCCAAATTTTAAAACTTATTAGATTCAATGTGTAAACGCTTGCTGAACATTAAAATTTTCATCTGCTCGTGTAGGGTAGCTCACGTGCCTCGTTTTCCCAGGGTAATCAAACCCAGCGATAAACAAGTTCAGGGCGCCAGTGGGGGAGGAGGAGAAAGAGATAGAGAGACAGAGAGAGAGAGAGAGAGACAGAGAAAGAAAGAACGAGAGTCAGAAAGAACTACAAAGAGGCAGAAGGACATCGGTTTCGCGAGAGACATCCTTGAGGGAGGAGGAGGAGAAAGAGCAAGAGGAGGAGAGGAGAAGGAGATAGCAAAAACCCAAAGTTTAAAACTTATTAGATTTAATTTGTAAACGCTTGCTGAACATTAAAATTTTCATCTGCTCGTGTAGGGTAGCTCACGTGCCTCGTTTTCCCAGGATACTCAACCCCAGCGATAAACAAGTTCAGGGCGCCAGAGGGAGGAGGAGGAGAAAGACAAAGAGAGACAGAGAGAGAGAGACAGAGAAAGAAAGAAAGAAAGAGAGACAGACAGAACTACAAAGAGACACAAGGACATTGGTTTCGCTTGAGACATCCTGAAACAACGTGTTCGCTTCGCTTGATGTTGTTATCTCAACATAAGAAGGAAGTAACCTCGATGGCGAACTTTTCCCGTGATAATGAAGTTCGGCCTCCGCGCCTCGCCCCCGACCAAACTCTTATTGGTCGACGATAAAAATCTCTAACGACTTAAGGGGGGGGGGTACATTATTATCGTGGGTAGGCGGTTATACATGGATATCTATATATATACACATATGTATGGATACATATGTAGATATTGATACATATATAGATATGTGTGTGTATGTATGTATGTCGGTTGCCACGGGCAACAAAACCTCCAAGTTCTCAGAAAAGAGTACAGGTGTAATCGTCTCAGATGGCCTGGGGATCCAGATTTTCCCAGCTTGCTGAATATGAACACTCTGCCGGGACTCTTTCTGAAGCGTCCTCTGCGTCAACCTGATTGTGCAGCTCAAGCCGAGGATTGTACGATGCAGCGGGTGCGATGAGACCACTGCTCGGGACAATGACAGGTAGGACTAATCGATGTGTAAGAAGATGCACACTATCCAAGGTTTTCGCTTGTCCAAGAGAGCTGCCTGCTCTCTTGAGTCGCATTCTGCCCATGGAACGCATAGTTTCGAAAGTGGGATCTTTCGATTGTGAGCCTGAAAATGTGCGTTTACGATATCGTTCCCTTAGTTTCCTGAAGGTGCTTTTGTAAACCACTCCATGCCAATATTGATTGGACTGTAACTTGCTCCATTTAGGACTGTGCTGTTGATGATGGACGTTTTGCTGAGCTGATGATTGTTCAGGTGGGCGTAATACTGCCAACTTGAGTCCACATAAGAAAACTGCTGGAAGGTGCATTGCCAGATTGAAGTACGATTGTTCTCTTCATTTGTTTGAGATCATCTCCCCTCGTCCAGGCGGCGCATGGTCGGCAGCACGATTGCCGTCGCAGGTCACCTGTAAGGTATGGTGAGCGGCGGCGTGGTAGGCCTGGCGATGGCCTGCGCTCTGCTTTCGATGCGCCCAAAACGCTTGGGCAGTCAAAAGACTCCTCCTCCTCCTGCTCCTCCTCCTCCTCCTCGTTCGCGTCCACGTCCTCATCTTCCTCCTCCACGTCCTCCTCCACGTCCTCCTCCACCTCGTCCTCGACCTCGTCCTCGTCGTCGTCCTCGTCCTCGTCCATGTCCTCGTCCTCCTCCGCCTCCTCCTCACTCTCCTTCTCTCTCATTCGCTCCTCCTCCTCCTCCTCCTCTTCCTCCTCCTTTTCCTCCTCCTTTTCCTCCTCCTTTTTCTCCTCCTTTTTCTCCTCCTTCGCTCCTCCTCCTCCTCCTTCTCCTCCCCCCCCCTTCCTGGACGCCCTCGCCCCCCCCCCAGAGAGTCGACGAGCCACGGCCGGCTCGAGCAGGGCGCCAGCGCCCCGGGCAGGCGGGGGCAAGCGGCTCCTTCTCCTCGCGCAGCCGCGCCAGCGCCACGGCGGGCGCATCTCCGGGGGCCCCGCCGGCCTCGCCGTCGGCCTCGCCAGGGAGGCTGAGGACGGCAGGATGGACGACGCCGCACGTCGTGGCACACGAGACCGAGGTGCTGGGGAAAGTCCTGCAGGGTAGCCTCTTGAGCCACACTGGGCGGGCCCCCTGGATGGGGATGAGGGCCTCTCTTTCTCCTCGTCAGATTATGGCTCCCTTGTTTCGAGGAGGAGGGGGGGACGGAGGAGGAGGAGGAGGAGGAGGAGGAGGAGGAGGAGGAGGAGGAGGAGGAGGAGGAGGAGGAAGAGGAGGATAAGGGTAAAGAGGAGGAGGAGGAGGAGGAGGAGGGACAAGAAGAGTACGAGGGAGAGCAAAGAGAAGGATAAGGAGGAGGAGTGTAAAACCAAGAAGCATCAATGATGTCGAAATTTACCCTTCCTCCAAGTTTCCTCTATGTAGGTGCATACATGTTCTCTTCACTGCGGAGAATGCCCAATTGGAAGACAACAAACAGTCTGATAGTCTTCAATCGTGCCAGAATGCCATTCCGTGGGACTTCAACGAAGCGAGCCAACGTGACTGATGCGTCCTGACAATCCTAAACCGTGACAGAACACCAAGTACTTCAACATCGCGAATCAACGCGACAGTTTCGTCCTGACAATCCTAAGTCGTGCCAGAACATAACCCTTTGGACTTGAACCATACGAACCCTTAAAACTTGTGTGCGCTTTCGAAATGAGAGCGCGCGGCACAAGGCGAGACCCACATTTGGACAACCATCCGCCTTCCATCCGTGATGCTGCTACAAATTTGAAGATTCAAGCTCAGAAATGATGGTGGGATCTCAAGCGAAACGCCCGGCCCGTCCTACCGAGACGTCTGGGGATGCGACAGGGAGGAGTTGTTAAAAAGGAGAAGGGGTGGACGAGGAAGATGAGGAGGTGGAGAAGGAGAAGGAAGAGGAGGACGAGGACGACGGAGAGGAGGGAGGAGGAGGAGGACGAGGAGGAGGAGGAGGAGGAGGAGATGGAGGAGGGCGACGGGCAAGAGGAGGCGAGGAGGAGGAGGAGGGCGAGAAAGAGGAGGACGAAGAAGGGCAGCTCGCAAGCGGCGGCGTATGAGCCGCAAGCGATACTCTGAGGCCTCCGTCCGAGTGGCCTGGCGGGGGGAACCACATCTCCAACGTATGGACGAAAACACATTGGATTTGTTCGTCGTTTTCGGCATCCGGGGGCCCTCGCAGGGATCTGGTGCCGCAGACAAAAACAATCTGGAGCGAAAAGCTGGTCCCGTGGAAACGACCCAGGGCTCCGAGGAGGAGGACTGCAACGGCTGAAGAAGAGGGGGGGTAAGATAACGCTTTTAGTGGAAGATCCTACATCCACCCCTTTTGTTGTACCTTCACGGATGGAGGGCGTGTGGTTTTCAAAATGTGGCTCTCACCTGAGCGCTGCGCACATTCGTTCGAAAAGTGTGCAAGAGCTTCACACATGGAGGGCGTGTGGTTTTCAAAATATGGCTCCCACCTTTGCGCCGCGCACATTCGTCTTCAACGTTTGCACGAGCTTCAAAATGTGGCTCTCGCCTCAGCGCCGCGCACATCCGTCCTAAGTGCTTGCAGCAATGTCAAAGAGTCTTCTGGCTGACGTCCCAGAACTAATGTTTTGGCAAGATGCAGCAAAACTGTCAGGGCGCAACAGTCACGCACATTCGAAGTGTTGAAGTCCCAGAAATGGTGCTCAATTACAATAAAAACACGAAAAAAATAACATCAAAGAATCGTAAAAGAAAACAGAAACAACATAAGAATATGTAAGGAGGACAACGTAATAAAACAAGGAAATAATAAAGGAAAGAAAAAAAGAATGAATAATGAAAAAAATTGGAAAAAACAAATAAAATCAAAAAAAAAAAAATGCAGCAAATGCAATAATAAATAAATAAACACGTAAAAGAAAGAAACCATAAGAGCGAATAAAAATAAATCATAACCAATAAACATTGGTTTCAGTCACCGCATTTGAATGAAGGAACAACAGTGAAAGGTGAAAAAAAGCAAGGAGAGAAAAAATAAAGCCGAGCTGTAACAGAAAAAAATACAAAAAGGAAAACGAAACAGAAAGAGCAGCGAAAGTATACCGTAAGCTGACTGCATGGAAGTAAACAACAGGACTGGGCAAGAGCTAAAAGATAAAGTGGCTCAAACGTTGTAAAAAAGAATCGTAGAAAAATCGTCAATTCAAAGACGAAGACGAATCAAAACCGTCAAGACGCAACAATAACGTTGATTCGCCGCGTTGAAGTCCCAGGAATGGTATTTTGGCGCGGTTCCGGATTTTCAAACGGTTGTCGTCCAACGAAACACTTCACACAATAAAAACGAGTCCTTCTATGGCACTATGAACAGGGAATGTGGAGGGAGGGTGTAGTGCAACATCGTACATGAGTCTTGGGTTTACACCGATCCTCCTCCTCCTCCTCCTCCTCCTCCTCCTCCTCCTCCTCCTCCTCCTCCTCTCTAGCCGCCAGCTGTTCATGCCGAACCGCTTTCTGACAGCCCCCTGGCGAGGAGGACGAACGAGGACAAAGACGGCAACGACTGACGATGAGAGATGGTGCCGATGATGATGACGACGACGATGACGACGATGATGATGATGATGATGATGATGATGATGATGATGATGGTGATGATGATGATGACGCTGATGCTAATGATGCAGATGCTGATGATGCTAATGCTGATGGTGATGATGATGGTGATGTTGATGAGTATGAACATGATGATGATGGTGGTGGTTGCGGTGGTGATGATGATAATGATGTTTATGGTCATGATGGTGATGATGGTGATGCTGATGCTGATGCTGATGTTGATTTTGTTGATGATGATGAGAATGAGGATGATGATGGTGGTGGTGATGATGATGACGATGGTGATCATGATGATGGTGTTGGTGATGATGGTGATGGTGATCTTGATGATGATGAGGAGGAGGAGGAGAAGGACGAGGAGGAGGAGAAGGAGGTGGAGGAGAAGGAGCAGGACACGGAGGTGAGCGGAGGAGAGCGGAGGAGGAAGAGGAGGAGGAGGAGGAGGAGGAGGACGAGGAGAGCCGAGGAGGAAGCAGAAGGAGGAGGCGTCTGCGCCCGAGAGATCGGGCCCCGCCACGCCAGCCTCGCGCGCCTGGGCCAGGAGCTCGATGGCCTCCTGCACAGCCACCTGGCGCCGCTTCAGCACCGCGGCGGCCTTGCCCGGTCCCCCGGCCGCGAGCCCTGCTGTGCCCGCCGCATCCTCTCTTCCATCGGCGCGTCGACATGCCGGCTAACGCTCTACCTCATCATCCTTCTCATCCTCCTCCTCCTGCCAACACCATCCTCCTCCTCATCTTCATTAACATCATCACCCTCCTCTTAATCCTCCGCCTCCTCCTCCTCCTCCTCCTCATCATCATCATCATCATCATCATCATCATCATCATCATCATAATCATCCTCCTCGACCATCGAGGCCCGAGAGCGCCAAGCAGGCCTTCGCGGGCCCGAGGCCTCCTGGCCATGTGGAGCTCGATGGTCAAAGGGCGATCGAAGTGGCCAAGTAAGTGGTCGGACTGCCCCCTCTCGTGTTTGTTGCAGTGCTGCCCCCGTGGGGCGTTCCAGGGCCACGTTGGTCAAAACGCTCGAGTGTGCAACGTGATTCGTTCCTGCCTCCTCTGGACTGCTTTCAACTTGGCGCTGCAAGGTTTAAAAGCCCTGGGACCGCACCGAGGAGGCCCAAATGTGCGCGTCTTCTTCCGCGCTCTTGCAGCTTTTGCCTGGTGTCTGGCCCCTCCTGCTGTCGTTCGTCCCTCTCTCTCTCTCACTCTCTCTCTCTCTCTCTCTCTCTCTCTCCTCCTCTCGCCTTTCCCGCTCCGCTGGGCCGTCGGCCTCTCCTCCCCCCCCCCTCGGCGGCGGTCCCTTGCTGGGGGCGCAGTAGGGTGTGGGGCCTGGTGTCCGCTTGCGGATGCCAGGCGCGCGCGCCTTGCTGTGGCCTCGGCCCGGCATGGCGCCTGCTCCCCTGTTCCTGCTCCTTGGGCGTTGCTACTTGCGGACGGGCCGATCGTGACACCAGATCTCTCCTGTGCCTCGCCTCCTCGAGGCCTGTGACGGGCCTCATCGGCGCGGGCTGCGCACTAGCAGACCCCGTGCATGCACGGGGCTGCCGCCAGCGCCTCTCGTGGAATGAGGTGCCGAGCATCGTGATGTCAGAGTATCCCCCCCTAGTCCTCCCTAGTCCGACCCTCATTGGACTCTTGCTGAGCGCCGCCACCGCTGCCTCCTCCTCCTCCTCCTTCTCCTCCTCCTCCTCCTCCTCATCATCATCATCATCAGCCGCAACATAATTATCGTCGTCATCATCATCATCAGCATCATCAGCATCATCATCATAATCATCAGCAGCATCATCAGCATCATCATCAGCAGCAGCATCATCATAATCACCATCGTCATCGTGATCACCACCATACTCCTCCTCTTCATCATCAGAATCACAATCACCATCACCATCACCATCATCATCATCATCATCATCATCATCATCATCATCATCATCATCATCATCATCATCATCCTCAAAATCATGATCATCATCATCACCACCGTCACCATCATCATGGCTATCATCATCCTAATCCTAAGCACCGGCACCATCATCATCATCATCATCATCATCATCATCATCATCATCATCATCATCATCATCGTCATCATCACCACATATAATCACCATCACCGTCATCGTCTTCGTCATTATCAGCATCATCATCATCATCATCATCATCAGCAGCAGCATCATCATCATCATCATCATCATCATCATCATCATCATCATCATCATCACTATCATCATCGTCATCGTCAGCATTACCACCATTACCACCACTAGCATCATGATCATAATCAGCAGAATCATCATAATCATCAGACTAATCATAATCATAATCATCATCACCATCACCATCATCAGCAGCATCATATCATCATCGTGCTAATCAACGTCCTCGTCGTCATCATCATCATCATCATCGTCATCATCATGGTCACCACCATCACCATCATCATCATAACTACCATCACCATCATCATCATCGCCATCATCACAACCATCATCATTATCACCATAATCATCATGTTCCTCACCATCTCGTCATCATCATCAGCATCATCAACAACCTCCTCCTCAACAGCATCCCACTCCTCCTGCTCCTTATCCTCATCCTTCTCCTCATCATCCTCCTCGTCATAATCCTCAGTATCCTCCTCATCGTCATCCGCATTCTCCTCCTCCTCCTGCTCGTCCTCCCCACCTCCTCCTCCTCCTCCTCCTCCAACTCCAACTCCAACTCCTACTCCTACTGCTACGCCTACTGCTACTCCTACTGCTACTCCTCCCTCTTTTCCTCCTCCTCGTCCCGCTGATCCTCATCCTCATCCTCAGTCTCCTCAACAACATCGACATGATCATCAGCATCATCATCATCCTCATCATCATCAGAATCCTCATCATCCTCGTTGTTCATCACCAGCATCCTCCTCGGCATCATCATCCTCGTTCACCTCCTCCTCATCCTCCTCCTCCTATTCCTCATCCTCTTCGTCATCATCATCACCATCATCATTGAGATCAGCATCATCGTCATCATCACTGAGATAACCATCATCACTAGCGTCATTATCATCATCATTACCATCATCATCGCCGTCATCAGATCACCATCAGCATCATTATCATCATCAGCAGCATCATCACCACCATGATCGTTATCATCAGCATCCGCAGTTTCATCATCCTCATTCTCATCGTGATCATCAGCAGCATCCTCATCATGATCATCACACAACTCCTCCTCCTCCTTCTCATCACTATCACCCTCCTCGTCATCACCGGCATCATCACTATAATCATCCCCCTCGTCATCATTGCCATCATCAGTACCAGCATGATCCTCCCCCTCCTCATCAGCATTATATTCCTACTCATTATCACCATCAGCATCATCATCCTCATCCTCCTTCCCCTCCTCCGCGTCAGCATCATCATAATGCTTGACATCTGCATCCTTCCCCTTCATCACCATCATCACGTTAATCATCGCCATCACCAGCATCATGGTTATCACCATCATCATCAACATCTTCCTCCTCATCCCCCACACCTTAGCATCCTTAAGATCATCATCAGCCTCATCATCATCGTTCATCCGCAGCACCCTTATCATCGGTATCCTCAAGATCGTACTCCTCCCCCTCCTCCTCCGCCTCATTATCAGCATCATCATCGTCATCCCCCTCTTCATCCTCATCATCGTCATACTCACCATCCTTACCTTAACTTTCCCCATTACCATATTCCGCCCCATCATTATCATTATCAGCATCCTCAACATCATCATCTGTACCATCGCCATCATCAACATTATCACACTTATCACCATCATAATGATCATCATCAGCATTTGCATCATCATCATGAGCATCACTATCGTCATCATCATAAACCTCGCCGTCCTCATCAGTATCATCGTCATCATCCTCAGCATCCGACTCATCCTCCTCATCATCATAAACACCATCATCATCATCAACATCGCCCTTCCCCTTCTCATTATCAACATCATCACACTCACTCTCATTTACCCCCTCGTCGTCATCATAAACATCACCATGATCATGATCATGATTATGATCATTGTCATGTTCATGATCATCATCATCATCATCATCATCATCATCATCAACATTATCATTACCATCATCCTCATCTTCACCCTCATCCTCAACATCCATCTCCTCCGTGTGATTTTCATCATCATCATGACTCAATCATCCTCATCATCCCCCATTCCATCGTCATCATCATCAAACTCCTTCTTGTCATAACCATCCTCCACCACCTCATTATCATCCTCCTCATCCTTCTCATCATCATCCTCATCCTCCTCTTCCTCCCCATCCGCATCCGCATCCTCATCACCCTCCTGCTCCGTCTCCTCATCTTCATTCACCTCCTCCTCCTCATCCTCCTCCTCCGCATCCTCCTCAACAGCATCATAAACATCATCATCATCATCACCATCAATACCATCATCATCACCGTCATCATCATCATCCTCATCATCTCCTCCTCCTCCTCCTTCTCCTCATCACCCTCATCCTCATCGCCATCACCATCAGGACTCTCCTCCTCCTCCGCCTCTTCCTCCTCCTCATCCTCCTCCTCATCATCAGCATCATAATCATATTTTCCTGATCATCATCATCATTTTCAGCGTCATCATTTTCGAAAAACCATATCATCGTCATCATCATCCGAATCCTCATCCTCCTCCTTCTCATCATCATCCTCCTCACCATCCTCAACAGCATCATCAGCATCACCGTCATGATCGTCGTCACCATCATCATCAACATCCTTATCATCATCACCATCAGCATCGTCGTGTTTGTCATCATCCTCATCATCATCACCACCATCATCATCATGCTCCTAATCCTCCTCCTCATCATCCTCATCATCCTCATCATCCTCGTATGACCATCCTGATCATCCTTATGATCATGATCATCAGCAGCATCGTCAATTCCTTATCCTCATAATTAACTCCTCCGTGTCGCACCCCGAAGCAAGTAGTGAGGGCTGACCGGGCGTTTCGCCTGAGACTTTCTTGCAATTTAGGGCCTTGGAGCTTGGAAACTGACAACAGCTTCACATGTGGAGGGCGGGTCGTTTGCGAACTGTGTCTCTTGCCTCACCGCCGCGCACGTTCGTTTGAAACAGTTGCAAGGGCTTCACGGATTTAAGGCGGGCGCTTTTCAGCATGTGACTCTCGTCTCAACGCCGCGCACATTCGTTTTAACGGATTGCATGGGCTTCGCGGACGGAGGGCAGTTCCTTTCCAGCATGTGGTTCTCGCTCTGGCGCCGCGCAATAATTCCCAGAGCTTCACGGATTAAGGGCGGGCGCTCAGCGCCGCGCGCATTCGTAAGACACTTCTGCAAGGGCTTCAAATATTTAAAGCAATTCCTTTTCAAACTGTGGCTCTCGCCCAAGCGCCGCGCACATTCGAAATAAACAGTTGCGAGAGCTTCAAATATTGAAGGCGGTTCCTTCTCAAAACGTGGCTCTCGCCTGAACGCCGCGCACGCTCGTCTTATAAACCTTTGCACAAGCTTCACGGGTTCCGACGTTAACATACAATCAGAAATTGCGTTTTGGAACGATTCAGGATTGTCAA